TAATACATCATAAATAGAGAGCCTTATCAATACACTGTTGAATGAAGGCTTCCCCATGCCGTGCATGCCATCGGGGTTGTTTAACCATACTTTACCACGCTGGTCAGTTGGGGTTTTTTCAAGCGGGATAGGGGGGTGTGTGGGGGGGCAAGACCCTTTCAGATATTTGGTTAGCTGTGGCCAGGCAGCGGCAGGTTTATAGTGCAGTGCGCAAACCACTGTGCCACCGCCCCAACTGCACATTTTATATGCATTTACAAAAGTGTTATGTTTTAATATGAACATTATGGCGGTACCCCTGGGTACCATAGTACCCCGGCTCTCGCATAATGTCCGTGATGCAGTCATTTTTAGTCTGTTGATGGTCGGCGATGCGGCAATCGACTCATCTCGACGAGCTGTACACGATGCACCACTACGGTGCATACGAGCGTTCAGGGCTTCAGCGCAATCGACCACGCTGCGTTTCGACATCGCGGAGTGTGGCACTGATTTCGGATTGATTGGTACCCCAGTCGCGGAGTTAAGTACGCCCTGGAAAAAATAGTGTCCCGGAAATAAAATATTTAATTGCCTCGGTCATTTAGTATTATTTGGTACCCCAGGGTACCGCCATAAGGATCATATGAGCATTCTGGATTACAAAAGTTGTTTTATTGTAAGTGCATAATAGACATGCTCTGTTATCTCAGGAACACTGCAACAAAACACATTTTAAATGAACGAAGAGAAACAAAGAGGCAACGTTCTATTTAAGAGAGACAGCCTGGGCTTGAATGCAATCCAAAGTGATCACGATACCAAGTGGCACTCCCATGACCACAGTTTTATCAGAAACGGCGAGGTATTTTGGAGAACGGAATTTTACTGGGAAAGTTTATATATTTTCCTTTCCTTTGGGAGAAATGTGACTCGCTGTGAAAAGTTTGGCACTCGCTGTGAATATACCAGGCAGGCGAAGACCGCTTCTTGTGGAGGGAATTTGAGGGCTCCGTCTCGTTTGTTCGTTCGTTCGCGAGTGAGCGAGCAGCCCAAACCAAATTAACACCCCTACGGAGAAAAACCGAGCCCTTTAAGAACTTCGCTCTCAGCAAAAATAAAAAAAAATCCGACTCCTCGCTCTCAGCTTGCAGATTTCAATAATGGAAATCAGTAGGAATGCGTCGCCTCTGAGAGACGCAGTATATGGGCAGATCGTCCATCAACAATTACGTACAATTGAATGTAATTTGTAATCATAAAAATAGAATGTGATTTATTGAAACACTAAAGTATCACTGAGGGTCAATCATTTTTCAGGAGAATATTTGCCATGGGGAGCAACAGCGTAGTGGTAAGCATGTTGCGCTATGAACCCAGCGACCTGAGTTCGCTTCCTGGTCATGACGAGTGGTGAGTGATATCTGGACCAGTTTAGGTTACCACCTTCAACAAACCAGTGTTTTTGAAGTATGGTCAAACAACCCCTATTACCGACATGGCGTGGGGTGACCTTAATCCAGGATTGCCATGTTTTTCCACGTCTATTGGCAAGTGTTTTGCATGTGGGAAGTAGTCGGAGAAAAACCATGCAACTACACCACCACTTTTAATTATAATCCCTCTCTTCATCGCAACCACTGTCATCTTATGCACAATTTCATGATCGCTGTAAAGCAGCTTTAGAATAAGGCACGATACAAATCCATATATGATAAGGGGGGCTACAAATCTGCGCAGACACGTTCACAATCCCACTTGATGTGCTGCCATCTGAGCATTTTGCAGCCCAGTGGATTTGGGAGTTTTCCAACTCCATGTAATCCAACAACCATTGCCGCTCAAGTTTTGAATTACAGGCTAATGCATCCTGGAAGCAGAGTTACCAATATCTGGTTGGAAAAAAACCTCTCCACACACCAGGATCTGCTAGCGTGCTGCAGTGGTGAGATGTTAACTATCTCACCTGGTAAACTGGTCGTGGGTTCGATCCTGACCCTGACGCTTGTATATTTGGAGTTTGCCCATTCTCCCCGTGGTCACGTGGATTTTTCTCAGGGTGCTCGGATTATTTCCTCCACATTTAGAAACATGTGTTTAAAGTATGGCTGCTATACATTTGCACGTGATAAGCCACTTCTTGTTGAGCTATTATTTGTGGTGAAGTCGCTTGTTAAAAAGAGCAATGTAGCTCCGTGGGCCTTAACCCGGTAAAATAAAAAATAGTTCGTAGTTTTGAATTTTCGGTACACAGCTAATGAAATCTGGATAGAGTTGCAGGGGTAACCTCACTGGCTACTCACCTCGGAACTCTACGGACTCCAACCTACCCTGAAATAAAGGACTGCTGAAATAATTGATAGAATGCATGACGAAGTACAGACGTTTTGAAAATTAAAAATATTCTTTCACAAAAAATGCTAATAGCCGAGTGGAAATGGGGTTGCACTTAATCAGTCATGGAATGCAAATCAATGAAAGTAGTCCACAGTGGCTGGCTTGGCGATGATGTCATGGGCTGGCCTCGCTAATTGAAGGTTTGCCGTCTGAAAGTTTGAAACCTGATCCTGGGCCAGGTAACCATTAGAGAGCATGGCATCATAAAGAAAACAGAGTGAGACGTTCACTCCTTTGACATTATCATCACATTTACTCGCCTGCCCACTCAGCATCACTGATTAGCTCAATTACACTCCAACTTCCTCTCAACCTTTTTCAATGTTTCTTTTCCTTTATGTGTATAATGTTCTTTAAGCTCTTGTTACTATTGGAAACTTTTGTTTTAACTGTTCAATGGAAATAAAGGCAGCGTGCTCTTCACTCAAATTCTTATTTTCTTGACCCGTCTTTGGCGAATGACGCATTAAGGAGACATCCTACAAACTACAAAAAGAATGTACTTTCACAACAGTACGTCTTCATCACTTCAACACTCCAAACAATGAACTTTATTTAGAACCAATTCAGTAAAAACAAACGAAAGCTATTCATTCATTATTTTTTCCAGAAAGAAAAAAAAACCAGTGAGCAAATTGTATAATTTCTTATTTTTTCCCCCGCACTCTGGAATATTACCCCCAGAAGGGCTTGAACAAACACACACCTAGCTTCAGCTGTTAATGCTATGCCTAAAAAAATTGTTTTTTTTCCCTCTCCTAGCAATGTGACGGCTGTCAGAATGTCCTCACCTGCCTCGCCAGACTGGAAAAGCAACGCATTAGAAACGGCTGGGCCCTCAGGGAGTCTAGCCTTCTGTCCCGTCTTCCTGTCGACTCTAAATCCCACGGGGGGGCCTCCATACAAGTCTAGCCTCCTGCGGAGACTGGTCCCCTGGCTTGCGGCCAATTTACTCGAACACCATCGCTTCACCTGTCTGAACAACTCATGGGGGGCATTCTTTTAAACAAGCTTCACCGCGTTTAGCAGCGCCATCACGCACTGAATTAACGTGTTCAATAAATCCGGCAAGATCTCTCTCTCTCAAAGAAAGGAAAAACGTAGCGCTCGACTTAATGGTGCCAGACCGCACAGAGACATCGAAATATGAATTCTAACCCAAATGTCAGTGAGCAAACTGTAATCGTCATCATGGAAATGGAAGATTCTGAAACAGAGACACCGCATGAAATTGGACAGTTTTTTTAAGTCGGTCTGTCACACCACTGGTTTAGTCTGCCAAGCAAAATTAAGCACATTAAAGTGTCAAACTGGGCGGCATTGTTATTCCTAGAACTTCGCACGTCTTGACCTTGTGCGTCACTTTTCAGCGCGTTTAACTAAAAATCCGCGCGATGAATGTGAATAACCTATGTCGTGAAGTCAATGCACTGTAGGAAAAAACCTCCCACCAGTCGATACCACGGCAAGATGCAAGTTCAACAAAAAGAGCTGCCTTTCTCGCTCATACGTCTCGCCCAAATGTTAAAGGGAGGTGAATAGATGCGAGGAAACTGGAGTAGGCTTTCACATGTGGGAAGGTAATTAATTGGTGCCTCCATAATGAGGGTTTACATCAACCTGCCAACTCCATTGAACAACAGCGTAATCCGTGCTTGAAAGAAACAACTATGAAACAACTATGGTGAATAGTGGTGGTAAGCATGGAGTAGACCATAAACATTTACACCCATTTTACAAGACCGCTTGTAAATAAATCTGTACCACAATGAATATACATATATAGCGCTGGCTAAAATAAGCTGAATATTTCACACCGACAATACATTTCAGTTACCTGCCTTTCTTATAATTTAGCATTGAACTTTGTAAGCACTGTGCGCTCACTACTAAAGTTCCATTGTCTTTAAAAACAAATATAGGCCCCTCTTGCAACTAAATCCAAAACACATCCTTGGCACACTCCCTGTAATCGCTGTACAATGCGCACGCTACTTTACTTTGATTCAACAAATTGTCAACATTGAGGTTCAAGATTGCTTCTCAAATGGATTCTCTCACGTCCATTGTAGCACATCTTGGACCCTTAGCCCACTGCATAACACACAACAATTTTGTAACCTGCAGCTGGATGAGGGCCTCCCCCCCACCTTGCCATGCTTGTCAGTGCAGATTTATTAAGGCGGAGAGCAAAAACGTTGGAGCAGAGTATCGCAAGTGCCCTCTGCTGACAACGTAGCCCCGCAGTAGCCTACAACAACCTGTTATGCATGGCGGCCGCCTATCCAAATCCTATCCGCGATTAAGCTCGCCGAGTTTCCGCTGTCCGACAAGATCGGGCAAATCCTGAAAGACTTGTTCAGAGGCAGCGCAAAACATATCCGGATCAGAAATAAACTCCTGCACACACGATTCGACGCATGCATTCAGAGCCTGATAATGGGGATTTTAACAGCTGAAATAAAAAATCGGTTACATCTCTATTATTCACAACTTCAGTGACAGTGGTTGGATGATTTAAGGCGTGTATCGGACACATTCCTATTATTCACAACTACAGTGACAGTGGATGGGTGACTTAAAAGTTGGGCGAGTGAACCAAAAGCCGGTGTGTGGACTCCTACCTGCACATCCTGGAGGTCATGGAAGTTATTGCCGACGCGGATGGAGATGCGGCTGGGCGTGTAGCTCTCGTCAGCCTTGTAGTCCGCGTAGATGCACACCATCTTCACCGTCGTTTTCCTCCTGGAGGAGGCCAAACGAAACGCAACAAAAAAAAAACGTCGCCGCACAACCACGCGCTTCACAGTGGCCCCCCGGCAAGGCGTGAAAATGACCTTGTGGAGAACGTTAAATACCCTCACGTCATCGTGAGAGTGAGCAAGAAGTCGACCCAGAACTCGGTTGTCGTGATTTCCTCGTAACCAATTTCCTGCTGAAATTGCGCATGAAGCTAATATCCTGAGTGGTAGAGGCTTGACCCGTCTGGTGACTAGGAGCACCACCCCGCCCCCCCGAGTGAAAACAAGGTTGGGTTACAAAAAACATATATACCAGGGAATTAAACAGGGCTCATTATTCACATTTTTGGCCTGAAACTCTTAATGAAGTCAAACCTTTTCAATGTTGCATGTAAGTTAATGTGCATTATTAACTTCCCAGTTTTATTTTGACTTCGATGTAACCCCAACCAAGTTAAGGAATGCAGACATCTTTTGATCCATTGTCTTCGGCAATTGGTAATCTAAAACCACAGGCATGCAGCCAAATATCCATGACTACACCCACAGCCGACTAAAATACCACTAAACCACCAATTCATACAGTTTCTTAGTTCTATAAATCCAACATGTAGAATACTTATAAGTTTGCAGAAGCTGGTGATTGAATATATTTTTCTATTTCAAAAAATAACAATTCGATTTTACCGCTTTTTATGAATGATAAAAAAGCATATCACAAGCTGTGATATAACACGCAAACATCGTGTCATTACATATATAAATTCACTCATTCAAACTACAAATACTTTTCACAAAGTAACCCCGGAGGAGACCCGAGTTCGAAGCCTTGCCACGGCTAACGTACGTATGTATGTTGAACTTCTTTTGTACCATACGTAACCAACCACGCTAATCAGAGGTGCGGGGGGGGGAAGGACAACACACTCAACACAAAAAGCAATTCTTCATTAAATGAGTTTTAAATCTAGAGATAATAGTGCATCGCTCAAGTGGCTTCCGAACATCGGAAGGAGGAGCGCGTTCCAGACGGTGAAGAAGTGCGTTTGAAAGCGCGCCATGTGGTGACCACCGCCTTAAATCGTGGCCAGCCAAAAGACACCGCTGCGAGGATGACCGGAGTTCACGTGATGGGTTATGCTCCTTGACGAGATCGGCAAGTGTTGTTATCTGATTTGACTCTAGCCCCCCCTTCAAAAACACCCATGACGGACACAGCGTTTTGCCAGAATATGTATTACCAAGATTGATAAGACACATTCATTCATGTGGAGTTCACATTAGATGTTTTTTTAACTACAAGTTTTCCAGAGCGAGTACAATATGCTTTCCTTGGCTTAGATTTTTATGTACATGCAAAAATTCTTTACGATATTCACATTTTTTGGCAAAAACACTTCAATTCCGATCAAATTTTTGACGTAATTATCCTCGATCCAACTCACGAATCATTACGCGAACATGCTGCCAATCAAACACGTTCAAATATTTCCACGGCTCCCGACGCATTTTGGAAATTTCACGACAATCTGTGTCCAAGACGTAATTTTGCCAAGGCCGCTAATACCGGTAACGTCCTATGGTAAAAAATTGGACCAAAACAGTCCCACATAGCGCCCATACGGAAACCATTTATGAAATGTTATTGGCAGTTATTAGCATTTCTGCCAAAACTATGCCACTCCAGGCAAATCCACAAGACTGCCGAGTGTGAAAGGCACTGAAGAGCAGTTTAAACGCCCCTCGAAAAAGGGGCCCTCCACCTGCCGCAGCGAGTGCCACATGAAAGACATTCCTCTTTTCTCATCTGTAAAATATTGATCATTTAGCAAACCATCGCTGTTAAAACGCCAAAGTAATGTAACTGTGCAATAGACTGTGCAAAACTTAGCTGTGGCACAGGGGACGCAGTGGCGCACCACACTGCATGCTGGTGACCAACACCAGATTTAAGAACACGTACTTATACGGTACTTCCGTCAGTTGGCTACTGGATGGAGACCTTTCGATGCTGTGCGGGTCAAGGGGGTAACTTGACCATACTTCCCCATCCTGGCAATTCTAGGGTGGTAAAAATGGTGTGCATAACTTTGTAAACATAGCGGTAGAGTACAATGGTTTTTGATGCACTGCCCATTGGCTACCACATTCTGATAAACTCCCCCCCCCCCTCTCCTCCCCCTTAACTTGTATTTAAGAGCTTGCATCTTGAATCCCTGCCTCACTTGATGCAGCAAATCTGGCTGTGACAGTCCCACCTGATGACGGAGACTTGTGTTGCCTCCGAAACGTCGTGATTTTATTATTTTATTTTTATTAATTTTTATTTCATTTTTTTTACCTACGTGACTTCACCGAAAGAACTAAGCGTATGAATCCTTGCAGTCACGAAAGCTTCAAATCTAGAACTGCCCTCTGCTGTTCAAAACGCTGCTCCGCAGTCTACAGCCTTTAACATCTGTGTGTAGTGTTCCGCCTTCCAACGATGTCGAGGCTTAACCTTGCGTAGCTTCCAAGATTGGGCATATTCCGGGCGATTTGGTCATAGTTGTATTACTGGACATCTGTGAAAAAGAGCTTCAAGGCTCATCTGTTTTCTGCAAGATAAATCAATATTTGGATTCTGTGTTTAACAACGTGCATTAAAGATCTGGCCATGCTTCTTGCCCCTTGACTACACCACCATGGGCAGCAGTGGAGGGCAAGGTGAACCTCGGCTGACCACAGGCTCTCACCTGAACTGGATGTTGACCAGGTGCGGCTGGGAGCCATCCGACTGCCAGTACGTCTCCAGGTTGTCATCCCGCAGTTGATCCACGCCAAATCCTGGTGGTCACAGTGGCATAGGTGAGCAGGTAATGTCACGTTAAGAACAAGGACTTGAGAGTCGTATACTACGATGAACAGAAAACGTGCACATAGGGCAAGTTAACGGTCTTGGGGTACCAACGGAGTGACTTTGTGTCCAACCAAAAGGCTATTGCAAGACACAGAAACGAGACTCGCTACATGCACGTTACAGGGATGCCAGCTATGGCACTTTTAGCCTGTGGCTGTACCTCCCCTCCTCTGCTTCCCATTCATTGCCCCTGCCCACCAGGTTCTCCGAGCTATATAATCTGCAGAGATCAAGGTAACTGAACGACCCAGTGTCACAACAAAAAATATAGCGTGGAAAATTATTAAACAAACATCAACGTTATCAAGTATCTCCCATGCCCTGTATAGTAACAACCCAAGAATATTAACAGAATATTTTAAAATATAAAGTCTGATTGTTAAAGTGGTTAAGTTGGCAGTGCATCATCTGCACAACATGCGAGTGGCCCAAGCGGAATTGGAGAGGGGATCCGTATCTTTCAATCAGTCTTGTTTTTGTTAAATGCGGCGCTGCTCATCCTATAAGCAGCGGCAGTGGAATGAGGGAAGCGCAAAGGCCCACGGCATTGGTAATGACAAGAGCCATCTGTCGAAGTCTCACCAGGCTTGCAGGAGGAGAGCGACCACACAGCCTGGGAGCCAATCTCCCGCACTCGCCCCGTCCTCTCCAACTTCTTGGGGTCTTCACCTGCTGGGGTTTTGCTGTTCATCGTGCCGCCGTTTGCTGAAATCCTGAAACCACAAACCACGCATCTCATTGCTTTGCATTCATTACAGTGACAACATTCTAGGTGATCCCTACCCAGGCTGCAGATTCAACCAAGGGTTAAATACAAGAATTCCCCCATCATTATTAGGATCCTAAATGATGTTTCTTCAGCCTACCTCTCACCTCACTCTACTCTCAAACTAATACACCAAGGCATACTGAAAAATAAAACCTCTTGTGAACTTCTGCACAGTCAGCGTTCGCTCTTTATTCTCAGATACCCGTGACGTTTGCAACTCTCTCTCCGCTGCACATTTGCATGACCAACTCCCTCTCGATCTCAAGATCTTTCCCTTCTCCTTCGATGTTCACTCATTTTTTGATCACACCTCTACCTTCTTCCCACCTGAGGCCATCCCCAAGTGCGGGTATGTTCCTCTACCATGTATTGTACTTTGTTTTCATAACAATGACAAAGTTCATCTTCTTGGTTCTTTCGGTAAAGTCACGTAGAAGGAAAATAATAAAATAATAAAAATAAAACATAATAAAATAATTCTCACGACGTTTCGGCCACAACGCAAGCAGCCGTCTTCAGGTGGAGAACAAGTACTTGACAGACCTGTTCTCCACCTGAAGACGGCTGCTTGCGTTGTGGCCGAAACGTCGTGAGAATTATTTTATTATGTTTTATTTTTATTATTTTATTATTTTCCTTCTACGTGACTTTACCGAAAGAACCAAGAAGATGAATCCCTGCAGTCACGAAAGCTTTAAATCGAAATGACAAAGTTACATTGAAAATAATCCACCTAAACACTGTACGTTTAGAAGAATATCCAAGATAATGCTTGTCAAATTCCCCTGCAAGGAAATGGGGCAAATGCGGCAAGGTTACGGAGTCCCGTGCAATCGAGGGGTAAACAAAGTTCGTCCGTGCACTCTGCCAATTTGGAAGGAACAGAACGTTTCGTAGCGGCGGCGGCCTCTAAAACTCGAGGATGTTTCCCGGTAACACTTAAACACAAAGGCACCTGTGTAGAGAAATGTGGCGCAAATTTTCATGCCTCCCTTCCAAGTGTTGCAATAACTCAGCAGCGAGGAAGAGATTTCCACAATTCGATACATTGACTTATTACTCATCGTGTCCTCACATTGTCAGTCACTATTTGTCAACAGGTGACGTGATGGGAAAGACCTCCCGGTTTCAACATTCCACGCCGCCAATGGTCGACCCATCTACCGAATCGGCACTGGGCACGGCCGGAAGCGGCCACCTGATGCACAAATGGCAAGTAAAAGATTCGGCGGACTACGAGTGTGGCCACAAATCCCAAACCATCAACCACATTCATCTTCTTGGTTCTTTCGGTAAAGTCACGTAGAAGGAAAGTGATAAAATAATAAAAATAAAACATAATAAAATAAAATAATTCTCACGACGTTTCGGCTACAACGCAAGCAGCCGTCTTCAGGTGAAGAATGAGACACTGCCAAGCTTTGTCCTTGAAACTGCCAAGCTTGGCAGTGTCTCATGAGACACTGCCAAGCTTGGCAGTGTCTCATTCTTCACCTGAAGACGGCTGCTTGCGTTGTAGCCGAAACGTCGTGAGAATTATTTTATTTTATAGTTTTATTTTTATTATTTTATCACTTCCCTTCTACGTGACTTTACCGAAAGAACCAAGAAGATGAATCCCTGCAGTCACGAAAGCTTTAAATCAAACCATCAACCACATTGTATACAGGCTGCTGTGTTCACCCATTTAAAGGAGGAATGGACGAGATCCACTCTGTTTCTGAACAGACAATTGAGTGGATAACAAATCTAAAATTACATATTGAATCTGCTGCTCTTAATCCATATGAAAGAAGAAGTTGGGAAAGACTCGAAGTGCATTGCTCGTGTGAATCTGGTTAAAGTAACGCTTCAAAGAACATCGCAATACAGGATATGCAAGAACATTGTTGACCATATTTTAAAATAATAAATTGTTTCAATAATATCTTTGGGACCCTTTTTGCCAGTATCAAGAAAATATTTGACCCTTTCTGGAATAAATACAGGTGTTAAGATGTTCAAACATCAAATAGACATCTATTACAAAGCATCAAAGGTGCATTAATTACACATACTTGCGGTAAAACATACAAACAAATATGCTTTGATAATGTATGCATTGTCCTTGAAACTGATAGGCCTACACCAGAGACAGTCTCTTGCATGGCTTTGTCTCACCGGTGCTATAGAGCATAGGCCACCAAAGGCGAACAATACAAGGACAATGCAAACGCCAAAGTTGACAAGTTCTATTATTTCACGGAATACAGGGAGACCTCGCTTCGCGCGACTCCACGGAACGCCGATCCGTTATACTGCTCTTCATTCTGCAGAAATGTTTTACAACAAAAAACTAAATAAAAAATATCTAAACAGCGCTTACAAGTGAGAAGATGCAGCAGCAACCAGCCGACAAAACGTATCCAACCCCATCATCCGCTTAACCAATCAGAGCGACGTACGCCGAGCCGACCACAACTCACTCTGCCGCAATTTGATTATAACGAATTGTCGTCACGAGAGATGTTTTGCTATCGGTGCGTTTAGCCAGGTGAGAACTCACGAGACTAGAGTAGAGTCTCAGGCACCACATAAAAGATCCGCCAACACAGAAATGTTGACCAAGGACATCACACCATGACCCCGATTGGGGAGCGCAGCAGTTCCAACCTCTATTCCCACCGCTGCCTTGCATATGTAGGGGTGTTACGGGAGGAAAACGGACGGTTACACAAGGGTGTCCGCAATCAAGTCCGCAACGGTTACCACCCTGGGGGGCTGTGGGGGGATGCTGTGATCCCACACAACCCCGCCCCACGGTGGCAAGTTGGTATAAAAGGCGGAGAGCCAGAGAGCTCGAGGCAGACATTGGGAACAGGTCAAGATGAAGAACGCGTGAAGATCGAATGCCAGCTAGTTACTCCCTGGAACTCCTCTGGTCGCTGCCCTTCTAAGCGCCGGCCAGAGCAAGCCAGAGCCACGCAGGTCGACGTCCTTCTAAGGGCCGACTTCGTGTGGCTGGTAGTCGGGGTCTGTGCCTAGCCAGGGCCAAGATCAGGTCGTCCCCTTGAGAGGACGGGTGGGAGAATAAGTGGGAGCTAACCTGGGAATACTTACCCTTAATAAACGGGTGAAGGGGCCGCTACCTCTTCAGTTATACGCTGTACCTACATAAGTGTCAATACACGGGTGTTGCCTCAAGCTCGACCGTCCCTGTCGTCACTACATATGCATGGACTTATTTCGCACCATACGTGGCCAACCGTGCTAATCGGAGGTGTACAGGAGAATGCACTCGTGAGTGCAATACATAATACTTATGGTATTAAAACACATTTATTATTTAAATTAATGAAATCATGTTTACCATCTGTATTATTAATAGCGCCTTTACCGATACCCCAATGAAACCCTCATATATTGCTCATACGAAAGAAATAACGCTCTCAGGAACGCATCCCCATACATACAATGGCATAATGCCCCCTTTTAGTGCCGATTCGATCGCACTCCCTTCTCCAGGAACGCACCTTGAGCACTAAACGAGGTCTGCCTGTACTGTATATTTAATAATAATTGTAATATGCATTTAACATTACACATTTCAGTGTGTACGGATACTGGATATCAATTTTATTGTGAGATTAATTAAAAAAAACACACATTTAACTAATCATTTGGCATGCTTAAATTAACAAGAATAATTCACATTATTTTTTTAGGCACACACGTGTATTTGAAATAACACGCCTGGTGCATATACGTAACTTGAAGTGCCAACATTTTTTAAAGTTTCCCAAACAATAAACGACGACACGACCAGCGTATAAATTTGGTTTAGGGTTCTTTTCCACAAGCCTCTCTACTCCCTCAGGTACAATAACAGCAAAACGATTTTAAGAGCTAACCTTGGGCCCTCCAGGCCAAACCTTGCCGAGAAGTAATTCACCTTCCAACACTAACAAATAAAAGAAAACGAGACCTCAAGCCTGTATTCCCATCACAAGCAGTCTTGTTTACTCCGAGCGTTACCATCCCCGTAGGTAGCTGCGAATCGCATCAACCCGGTGAATCTGCTGCATAGCTCAGTCGTCCCCAAATGTATCCATCCCGTAAGTGAAAGCAGAAATCATTTTTTTTCTTCACCGCATCAACGGGGTCAAAAGGGAGCACTGGAATAGAAATTGTGAGGTGGGAGGGGGTGGTGTTATGGAAGTCACAATTTAATGTCATTATTCCTCATCTTGTCTCTTTTTTTTTCATACCGTGGGTGCATCGCGTATTGGAATTGTAGTCTTGGCTACCATCAGCTTAATCCGTACTTATCAGTAAAACAAACACATTCCTGCGGTGGGAGCTGGTAGGAACGTTGGGTTGCTCGGTCAATGGCCAGGGTCAACGGCGGCGTGGTGTATTCCGCAAATATGCCCGACTGTGAGGGTGGGCACAAGCCGACGTGAGTAGGTTAAACGTTGAGTTTTATAAGGGCACCACGGGGTGACCAGCCCCTCCCCACCCAGCCCCACCCCTCCCACCCCCCACCCAGCCCCACCCTCCCCACCCTCCCCTCTCCACCCAGCCCGACCTCTCCCATTTTTGGATGCACGACGGACGGACACAATAATCCCCTGTGGGCTGGTGGAACCAGGTGGTTCCTACGAGTAAAACATCCTGTGCTTGCTGCTATGTAACATTACAGCCCTCAAAGGCTGCGAACAGGACCATCAGCTTTCCCCCATCTTCTTGCCTTTGTGGTGATACACCTCGGCATGGAAACGTTAGGACCGTGTTGGCAATAGCTTGGCCACGTTAATTACTCACACGATAACATACCCTTTGGTATTAAACTAAATAAGCAATTAAAGGGATAACAAAAATATCTTATGTTTGTGTTAAGACTGTATCAGTGCGTTTACTGTGCCAGTGTGTACAACGCACATATACAATCAAGTGGCCAATTAAACTGAACACGTGATACAAGATTTCGTAATTAGTTGTATTTAACTTGATTAAGAATGCTGGGGTTGTCAGGGTATACAGATGTGCAACAAAAAATGTAAACAATGACATGGGCTTATTTCTTCATCCTCAAATCAAAAGCTCAGCTGCAAAAAAAATCCCAGAAAGAAAATCAATTCAAGAATTGTATTCAATTTCCAGAAATATGCCAGATTGATTTGGCCATTGGGCTAACTCACCATTAAGACACCAGGGATATAATACCGTATACATCTAATTGTTAACATTACTGTACATTGAAGTGCTGACATTGAAAAAGCCAGTAAAATCCCAAACGTAACAAGCCCATCATAATGAAAGGCAAAGTGGAGCAGCGTGAAGGATTTGTTTTAATGCGAGGTTGTGTGTGGAATTTGACGCACGCAAAAATGCCACTGCCTACTTTAAACGTTAAGAGCTCTCTGCACACGCGAGAAAAATCCGCACAGCCACCATCCAATGTCCACTTGTTGTGAGCGGACGATGTATAGCGAAAAAACAACGTGCTTATCAACAGACTGCGTGAAAGTGCACATTGACCGCTGTGAGAAACTGACCCCACAAACTGACTGCAACTGATGGTCTGCTGGCTTTCACCATTAAATTGGGAACATTTAGCTAGACATCTTCGCACGCAATTCAAGCGATGAGTTGGTGAGGTTCTGCAAAGGACTGATGGGCCCCCCCCTACCCCAACCAACTATGGCATGAGATCGGTTTATTTGCCGGTTTAGCCCTCGACTTTTCTGTGCGTGAGCATGCAACCTTTGGGAATTAACACGTTCTTTCGGAGTGGGCAGGTAGGAGAACTTGGTTGGACAGCGCATTCGTGCACGACAGATAGACAAATAATCCCTGGTGGGCAATGTGGAAAAAAAAGGTGTCAGTTTTGTTGCTAGATAGAAGGGTAAAAAAAAACAATTATCAATGTGGAACCTGTTGTTCCTACCTGTGTAAGTGTAGTGTATCGTGTCGTGTATAGTGTAGTGAGTAGGTTAAACGTTGAGTTTTATAAGGGCACCACGGGGTGACCAGCCCCTCCCCACCCAGCCCCACCCCACCCAGCCCCTCCCCACCCAGCCCCACCCCACCCAGCCCCTCCCCACCCAGCCCCAACCCCTCCCCATATTCACGACAGACAAATAATCACTGGTGGGCAGTGTGGAACCTGTTGTTCCTACCTGCAAAAGCAAAACTGCTGCAATTGCCAGGGACACTCACGATAACGTAAAATACGCACCGGTAAAACACATGTCACCAGACTGTAGCACAACACACAGTACAACACTACACACAATACAAAAAGTACACTACATAATACAGTTCACAAAAACCATACACTACAACAAAATAGACAGTTACATACAAAATAGGCAGGGTTTTCTGCGGTATAATACAGAATATTATCCAGCATAATACTCATAGTAAACTCATCACGCTACATGTATATTGTATTCCCAGTTCACTATACAATCATACGCAGTACACACACAATTATACAGTTCACTTTATTACACAACCCACATGGTTTACCCCGTATTCTTGTACAGGGAAATTGAGTTTTCTCGTCCATATGGCCAATGCCGTTTCAATGGGGGCAACAACAATCTTTTGTGTTTATCTCCCTGTGATGGGACTTTGTAGCTTTAACGTTGAGATGTATAAGGGCACGGGGTGACCAATATGATCTGAATTTGTCTGTAATAAGATAGGCGCTGATAAGGGGTTGACAGGTTTGCACTTGACACTACACACTACCATACACTCCTATACCCTACACTTTACTGTACCCTACACTATACACTACACTATCATAGCAGTCAATCCATACGATTTACCCCGTATTTTTGTCCAGGGATATTGAGTTTTCAGGTCCATACGGCGTACAACCGTTTCAATACTGTCAACAGCATGTCTATGTGTTTGTGTTTCTCTCCTTGTGATGGTACTTTGTAGGAATAATGCTGAGATTAACAGGGCACGGGATGACCAATAACATCTGAATTGGCCCACAATCAAAGGTAGGCCACTGACAAGTGCTTGGACAGGTAATGCTACTGCAGCACCTCACGTAAGACAATCCACTCACTGCATTAAACAGAGACAAATGCACCGTCCTCAAAGCAGACAACGCTCCAGGGCCACAGAGGAATACTCTTAGGTTTTTTCGGTAAAGTCACGTAGTTAAAGATGAACCAGAAAAATAAATAATAAAAGTTTTAGAAATAAGAGATTATTTTACAGAAAAAAAATTTTCCTATTATTTTTATTATTTATTTTTAGTATTTATTTTTTACCTACGTGACTTTACCGAAAAAAACCTAAGAGTATGAATCCTTGCGGTCACCAAAGCTTCAAATCCACAGAAGAATGCCACAGCACTGGGGGGCAAAAGGATGCCCCCAAGTCAATGTGTGTGACAGTGCCTCACCACGTGAACTTGCTACACCACAGTGACCGCAACCACTGCCACACAGGGCAGCACTGACAGTCGTTCTAGAAGTATCGTACCGTGACCCAGGCAGTCGTCATGTTACACAGCACACACAGCACGGCTCACACAGTGCATTGTGTTCAAGTACAGAGCACACAGAGCGGACTGGAGGCCCTTCCCCCATGCGTTGCGGTGAGGCCTAGCGACTCTCGACTTTAACAGGCTGTATGGGCAAGTGCTGTTGACCCTATGAAGGCGATGTTAACTACACACCGTACACGCTACTCGATTGAGAGGATGAGGAGGTGTAGGGGAGGCGCAGGGCCGGTTCGGATAATCGTCACCGGGTGTTGGTGTTGGGCCGTGTGCGGGAATCGAACTCGGGTCGCCGGGTGCGTAGCGCAGCGCGAACGACTACGACACCACCGCAACCCGCAGCAGCAGCAGCAGCAAACACCACACGCGGCACAGGGAAGCAGCACAATGAACCGCAGACACAAGACGCACAAAAAACACAACGCGCACACCACCACCAACCACCACCACCCACCCCAACCACCACCAACCACAATCACCACCAACAACCACCAACCACCACCCACCACCAACCAACCACCACCCACAACCCAACACAACCACCACCCACAACAACCACCAACACCACCAACAACCACCACCAACCACCACCAACAACACCAACCACCAACCACCAACACCACCAACAACCACCACAACTCACACGCGAACTCACACGCGAACTCACACGCTGAGGCGAGCGCCTGGACGCGGCCTCTCCGGCAGCCACACAAATTTGAGCGGCGGCGGCGTCAAAGTATCGCGAGACTTCGCGAACCACAGACCGGCTCGCGGGAATTCAAGCTGACGCGAGACTTGCATTCAAATCGGTTGACGGGGGTCGCGCCCCCGCCCCCCCCCGCCCCTCCCCGCCCCTCCCCCCCGCCCCCCCGCCCCTCCCCGCCCCTCCCCCCGCCCCCCGCCCCCCCGCCCCCCCCCGCCCCGCCCCCCCCCGCCCCGCCCCCCCCCGCTCCCCCCCCGCCCCGCCCCTCCCCGCCCCTCCCCGCCCCGCCCCTCCCCGCCCCGCCCCTAATTGCCTACCTAATACATTAACATAATGTCTCATGAATTAACAAACAAAACATTTATTAATTTTGTCGCGGATTAATTGCATCCTGTTGCAGAGCGACTCCGCTCTCTGTCCCACAAAGTGGTTCAGGTTTGCGAGCTCCCACGACGTAAAACCGAACGTTGCAACGTTATAAAGGGAATATATTTCCTATTTTGATTTAAAGCTTTCGTGACTGCAGGGATTCATATTCTTGGTTCTTTCGGTAAAGTCATCACGTAGAAGGGAAATAATAAAATATTGTTTTATATTTTTATTATTTCCCTTCTACGTGACTTTACCGAAAGAACCAAGAATATATTGTCATTGTAGTGCGTATTTAATGTGGCGCTGCACGCTGATGTAGGAGAAAACATTTATTAAAAAGCCTATTTAATTAAGTAGAACGTGTTGTCTATATTTATTTAAAGTTGCGCATTTTGATGTGACGTCACATTTCTCACCCCCCCCCCCCCCCTCGTCACACATCGTCACAAATGTCTGACCCCCCCCCCCCCAGGTGCGTGACGTCATTTATGGACGGCCCCCAAGTGGGAGACTCTTTGACTTTTACAGTGTCTTAGCCATTCTTTTTTCATTGAAAACGATAGGCGCATATAAGTGTTTAAACAAATGTTGAAGCACCCGGTATGTGAGAAAATGCACTGACAGAGCACGTGGGAACACTGCCCGAGCCAGTGGGGAAGGTGGGGGGTGGCACGTGCCCCCCCCCCCCCCCCCCAATGATCCGATCGAAATCCCAAATTTCGATCGGATCATTGGGGTTTATTAGTAATAAATCGGCATTTTGCGACCCCCACTGCCGCTGTGTAGTGTATTATTATGTGCCAGAGACTCTATGAGATGATAGGACAATAGTCTGAGTCCACAATTGGCAATAAGTAACGGCAAAGCAGTTATAAGTGACTCCGAATTGTGCGCAGTTGTGTATACAGGACACGACTTCCCTGAAGGCATCAACACCTTCAGCGAGCACGATGCCGATCACACAACACGGTTCGAATTCGACCCTCGATCGGTGGCTGCGCCATCGCCGCACACGCGTCGAATAAAAAGCAAGGGACAAGTCCTTACTTACTTACAACTCTATCATTTTTCATTGATGGAGGGGTTGCCCCCCCACCTACCTGAAAATCCTGGCTCTGCCATTGCGTGGGAAGACCAATGCGTCCCAGGGTATGGGGTTTCCACCAAAATGCCACACAACACGTACACAGCTCAAGAATTACGCGAGCGTTGTAACACTGAACGTAATTATTTTCTTGCCACACGCAAGAAATGGTTTGGGGACAGCGTCTTTAACTTCCCCAAATGTTGATAAGCAACATCTCGCGTTTTATGTTGTTTCAAACTGATGCATGCAGTTTGGCTGGAGTATAGTGTAACTTATTTCGTGGCAATGATGTACCTATTCCCCTAATTTATATTGGTAGCAATTCTGGCTTACCCCAAATTATTTGGCGTATTCCGAGCCCGGATTTGAGTTGTAGTAAAAACAAACACAAAGGTTTTACCTGGAGATCAACAAAGTCCTTTACACCAACTGAATCACTGCCAGTTTCCCTTGCTTTATCCGAGTTCGGTTTATATGCGTGTGTATATATATGCCATTAACCGAGTTCTACTCTAAATTCGCTATGTGCGTTTTGAATTCGCTCATATGCGGTCGGCCGTGGGACATCATTGTTGTGGACTGTTTGCGCTCTAGGGAGCGGTGTGTAGTAAACATCGCCACTGGAGACAAAGATGGCCGGGCGTGGTTCTGGCTACCCACCCCCTCGTGTGCCACTCTCTAACAGTTCTAGATTTGAAGCTTTCGTGACTGCAAGGATTCATATTCTTAGGTGTTTTCGGTAAAGTCACGTTGCTAAAAAATTTAAATTCATAAAAGTAAAATAAAACGTATTAATTTAAATGTTTTACCTACGTGACTTTACCGAAAAAACCTAAGAATATACTCTCTAACAGGACTAGCACCAAGTCTGTTCAGGCTATACGTGGGATCTCCGTCTGCGCTACCCCGCAGGCAACAGTCTCATGCGGGTTTTCTTCTTGCGCCCCTTCTTTGGTATTCATCTACCAGATAAAGCGAGGGAAATCTGTAATTCGCTTTCTAATATTACTCTCGTTTCAACAGGGGCGGTTTCTTCATTAGGGCGATTGGGCGACGCACCACCAATGTCATTCAACCACAGAGTCACGCTAGCCGTCACTGTGCCTCTGGATATAGTCCAATCAGCGTCATGTCACGTTCTGTGGAGTACCGCCTCTTTTTGGGCGATTTCACTCTGGCTGAGAATCGCCCCGAGTGGCCCCATAGACTTACATTAAAAGATGTTTTTTTTCGAACGGGGGGCGCTGCAATGCATTCTCTATGGCTTCCGGGAGGGCTCGCACTAACGTGCTTACGTCATCATACGTAAGCACGTTTCATCCAACAATATAATTTGTCGCCACCTAGTGGAATCTTTAATAAAAGAAACTTGAGTGGATTGTATTAATAGTGAGTATAGAAACAAACAAGATGTATTGTAAGAGTCACTTTATTTTTCATTAATATTAAAAAAGTGAAGTTGCCTTTACATGCTTAAGCTGTTAATTTATCCATTGCATGGGTGGACCTTATCCTTATCAATCATCCAGACATTTGCCCCCCCCTAAGAGATTTTGCAGGAGCCGCCACTGCGTTTCAACACTCTCTCGTGTACTTGACTGTGGGATACACACAGGGCCCTGCATACTTGTCATGGGAGCTTCAGGCCAAGATGCAATCATTTGTCTAATGAGCCACCAGGTTGCACCAAACTTAAAGCACGTACCGTGTGGTGTGCCTGCGACAATATTCACTTGAGCCAAAAAGGGCCGCTTTAGTGTTCTCATGCAGACTTGGGTCTCAGAAAAAAAAGCATTCCTCTGAACACGACGGGTCTTTTCAGCTCATGTTATGGATTCTAACGGTTTAAACAATTTGAGCAGCTGAATGTGTCCAGCCTTCCCTCCTCGACCGGTTTAGATTTCACGCAATGACGACCAAATTTCGACATTGTGGACACTGCCGATGAGGTGGCTGCGTGACGCAGTGGTAATCACCCCTCAATGCCCGAATTGGGGTTTTGTGTTCAATTTGTATGTTCTCTCGCTGTGCGGCATGCGTTTACCCTGGTTTACACCCATAGCGAAAAGCAACGCACAATGTAACTGGTATTGGCCAAACGTGCCGATGCCGAAAGATTGCCTGCAAATTATTAAATCGGGATTACACAAAGCAGCATCGTCCCTACTTCAAAAACGTGGTCTGACCCCTGAAAATTAGTTGAGACTCGGTGAGGCTTTCATGGTTAAACACGTTTTAAAATATGCATGTGTCAGTTTGCCACAGCAGAATACACAATTAACATTTTCAAGATGGAATATTTTTGGGACAGTTAGTGTTGCAGGAAACTTCAAAAAATGTTTTAAACGTATTCTTCTGATATTCTTATGTCACTATCCTTGTATAATACACTTCATGGCATACAATAATGATGCCAAATTGGTGGCTTTAGCCCACGATGCATTTGCTCGTGGTGCATTGGAGAAAGTGAAGGATTGTGGGTAGACTGCAGGGTATGTTAGGTGGCGGAGACAGGCACTGAATAGCCACCGTCAAAAGCCTACTCTGCACAAATCCCCTGCTCCTGCGGGAATATGCTAAATGTAAAGACTTGTAGATGGGGGCATTGTATGCACTGTATTGAACTTCTTTCACACCGTATGCACCCAACCAGTGCTAATCGGGAGGCACTGATGTAGAAAACACACACAAAATGCGCGCACGAAGCTTTTATTTAACGCGTATAATAAGGCAATGCTCGGATACAAAACGGGTCAACCTCACAGCCCTGCTTTCCCACCCGCCCTCACACAGCTGTCCACACATCACCTGCCTTCACGGCATTGTACAAGCGTACAATCATCGCGTACCGAGAAATGTCATCACCTGTGGCCCAAACACAGCAACGATGGGGGAGGTTTCAGTGGGCTATCTGACAGGATGAAAAGAAATACGCAGCTTTGAAAGCCATACAGGGGGCATGAATAAGATCTGTGGTCAAACAACACACATTTTCTAACCAAGAATTGCATCTCCATAAGGCTTCTTAAGTTGTTTTTAGGACCCCCCCCAGTTATTAAACAAATGAATGAAGTTTTCCCAAATAAAATGTCAACTCATTAATCTTCTGATACAGTGCTATCATTTAACGGCAACTTAATATTTTTTCAGGTATAGAAATATTCTTGAATTGTACGCGCCACATAAATGTTTCAAATTAACATTGACAATGTGAAGTGTCATGTTTGTTACGTATTTACCTCCATACAAAAGAAACACACAATTATTACCTTAAGTAAAGGGAGCATACTTTAATTAATTTATTTAAATCACAAAAACGTTAACGTCAATTTAAAACAATGCGTGGCGAGCAAGTCCTTATTTGTTCCTTTCCACCAAAATGTATCCCAATTGTGCTATTGGCCGTGCACCCATCTTGCCCTGGACACGTGACTTCTCAGAAAACTCCGAAAAAAATGTAAGTGGCCGTTTAATCCTGGACACTTACAACCTCTGCTGTCAGATAATTATAATATAATCGAATGAGGCAAAACAAGTTCAATTGCCCGTGCTTTAATGGATTAAAATCAAGTGCAAAATCTAGTTTTATTAAGTTTGTGTAGAATTATTGGTGATTCGGCTGAGACCATCAGCATTGTACACGAGATAGCCTATCTTAATCACAGCTGCCTAGATTCGAACCCAGGATGTCAGTAGTGCTGGCTTTGCACTTTGACCTCTGAACTACCTGCCTAACTCAGACAGGTAATTCTTATAAAACCCCCACTGCTTCACAGTTGCTAAATTTAACATGGGTTTGGCCACGAATTGTCAGGTTAATTTACACTCCTTAGCATATACTAATTTTCACCTCCCACAGTGACCCAAGACTCATCACATTTCAACTCAGGCGCACTGCATATTTTTTTTGGTTCCATTAAGTCCTATTTCCTCATGAGGTTCCAAGGTTAAAAAATGCATGTCGTTAATTGTTGTCCAGTATGGATTTCTGTTTCCCCAGTCAATGCCATTAAAGGTTTGGACGTGTATATACATGCATGTATTCGCACTCGCAAAGGGCTTGTTGTTTTTGCTATGTTCTCCTGCTGGGCATATTGCCAGTGAAATCCGCAGGTCATTGGTAAGCCTTTTAATGTAACAATACCAAGTAACTTTTTTTCTGAAAGCACTTTTTTTTGCTTCAATCGTTGTATCATGGCATACTTCCCTCAAGCAAGACTGTCGCAGTCATTTATATATACGATTGCAATTCTTTTCAAAAGGTGTGTGGGGGCCCTCCACTCCTGTGCTGTAACCCATCTAATGGTTATGGCTTATTTGGAAGAGGTGCAAGATCCAAGCTAAGGCAACAAAGAAGCCAATTTGAGGCCAAAAACTTCGTTTGAGAAATAACAGTTTTACAGCCATCATTTGAACGAATATAAAACTGTATAATTTACTGTATTTTATATGTATGTAGAGGTTATTTTGCACCATGCATAACTAACCATGCTAATAAATGGGATAAGGTGACTTTTTTTTATCGAAGAATGGTATGGAATAAAATCACAAAATTCCAATGGATGAACTTTAGTATACGATGATCATTCGTTAAACCACTCAAATCAAACACATTTGAGAAATGGCCTCTCGTCCCCACATCGTAAACAATTCGGCGTCAGAAATCGTTTGCTAATCATTCACCCCACAAAGCGATTCCACTGTCACACTTTCAGGTTGTGATATAATTCAGGGATCTGTTCCAAGTTGTTAATTTCCATATCCTTTGTATTGTTTGTCATTTGAAAAGAAAAATCACAATTTCACTCAGTTACACAGTACTCAATGCAACTTTTGCACACCGTTTTGAGTGTCATTTGCACGGATCGTAGATCGATTTTTACACGCACGATGCCACGTGTGCATCGTGAGCCCACCAAACGACTATTAACCGATGCGTCGTTATACGCCTGGTCAGATATCTGACTGCACACCACGAAGTGTACGAGCTAGATCCAGTCATGGTTGGGGCAAGTAGCCATGATACGGTTTGTTGAACGTCACGGTTGAAGTGGGGTGGAGACGTCTGTAGCCATTTTGGTACGCATTGCTTTGACGCCAATACAAATATCAAACACACAGACCCTTGAGAGCTTTGGCAATCGCATTTCCGCTTGTATTCATATAGGCACAGGCGACGTAATACATTTAAACGTGATAAGAAAATAGTTTTTTGTTTGTTTTTACTTTAAATCGCATATTACGCGTTTCTGTTTTTTTGTCAACCCTATCCCCCCCACCCCCAACCCGCACGCACGCACGTGGAACAAAAAAAGACGACAACGGGTTTTGGGGTAAATTCTCTTCGACAAAATCTACGCACATGCAATGAAAAAAGACGTTCACTTTTGCGTCGAGCTTTTTCTTCCAACAGTAGCAGTGGCATATCTTGACATTTATAAAGTGAGGATGAATGAACCCAAGGACAGAACGGTGTGTTGCAATACCATCCCAATCTGAAATTGAAAGTAAGGAATTATATCCCATACAGCTGGCTCTCGCGGTCTTCTTCCTGCCAGGAAGAGCATTGCATTTTCCACAAATGATTTGCCAGTGTGTGAGAATGCCAGTGATACCGTCTGATACCAACAGAACCCTTGCCTAACTCAGGAGTTAAAACCACCAGATTGCCAATTCCGGCCACGTGTTCATTCCTTTGTAAACGTACAGCAGCCAACCCAGTGAACATGGGCAGAAGGGAGATGGATCGTGGCATGGCGAGACCTTGAGGCATGGTGATAATGTGAGGCAGGCCTACCGATGGCTGTCGATGATGAATGAAAATTACCAATGTCATTTCAAAGAAATATTCCTGCGTACGATTCTGCATAAACCATTTTTGTAAAATCACTTGTTAATTGCCGAGCAGAATCGAGATTGGCTTTGTAGGTGAGTACAGTTGCGTGTGACGAATACGAGACGTCAGACGAAGAGAGCAGAACAATGCTGTGAAATAAGAACGCTGACAACCCCTCACCCATGAAGATAGACCGCCACTGCACTGTTGGTGGTACTGTTTAAATGCATAGTTCTGCAGCTTTCCTTCTTTGTATGCCAATGCAAAACCTTCCAGACCAAGGAGAGGGATTTTAGCCGCATCCTGTCTCAGCGTTTCTTTTAACTCACAGGAATAAGCTCCTGCAGGCAACATTTCTACGAATGGCAAGTCGGTAAAAGCGGACAGTTGGCTTAGTGCCACGTGTCCCCTTTTCCACTTTGTGCTTCAAAAAAACGGCCGATAGCGCATTTAACCAGGCAGTGAATTATCCCATAGATGCGCCCAAACAGCTCGCGGGCATATTCTCCCCAAGGCCCGAATTGGGAGGTGGAGAAAAAATATCTTTGGGCCGATATGCCGCATCCAGGGCGCCCTTCGCGAAGTGCGGAACAACAAAATTGGACACCAAAGCACTACGCGCTTGTTAATTACATTAGCACCATTTTTCATTGTTGTCTGTCAGTTGACATTTCATCTGTTCTGCTGCTGATACACAAGTTCAGGCTGTACTTTAACCACCAAAAAAGCAATCGTGTTGACTCAAAACTTCAGTAGGTAAAAAAAGCTGCAAAGCACAGCGACCATTTGACTTCATCTGCATTATGTATACCGTCGAGTAAAATATACTCTCCAGTATTTGTAGTTTCTTTCTGTAATTATTCACCCCCTTTGTGCGGCATGATTATTGATGTGTGGACAGTCAACGAGAACCCCCTGAAATCTGGAAGGTTTGACATCACATTTGTCTACAAGGCCTTCCCTAGATTGATTGCAACACAAGAACCCCGACTAGGTATTTGAAATCCGCCAACGGAAGGCGATTTCGACGTCCTCCGCTTAAAGATTACACGACATACTGTGAAAAAAAAAGAAGAAAACATTTTAATTCTTATTATTAAAATATCAGTACAAAACGGATAAAATCGCTCGAAGGATAAATTTTCCCCTTACTCCCGGCGCCGGTAAGAACGTTTCTAAACGGTAAAAACACGACCGCGTGTGCGTGTCATTGGCGCGTCAATTATGATTTTCATCAAACTGTCAAGAAATACGAGCATTCTGTTGCGTCGGCATTTAATATTTCATTTTTATTTTTTAAAGAAAGGGAAGAAAAAAAAATAATCAGGAATTTAAACTAAGCAGAGAAAATATCGACGCTCGTTCGCTAACGACCCAGAGAAAAGACCTTCTCAAGGTCCAGTGAGTTGTACTGAACTCTGCTTGGTCAACACAATGACCCACATCATCTTCTCAAATTTCCAACAATGTATTCCTCTTATTGCGCCATTTATTGCGACACAAATAATCGATTTCGTTATGATAACGCAAGCATCAATGGCTGCCGGTGTGACAACTACAAATAACATCAGGAACACAATTTGCGCGTACTGATTTTGGATGTTTTAAAATGTAAATTAGCACTGGGTATCGGTTTAGAATTTGTGTTTACTTTCTAGATTAATAACAATGTTAAAACAGAAAAATACATACGAAATGCGGTACAAGCTGCTATGCTAGTTGCCTTTTCCAACTAAAAATATAAACTCATTCAGACCCAATTTACTCACTTCAACCTCTCGAATGCACAACATGTGAGCCTTTCATTGGCTGAACATTAGCAGGCCTTGTGAATACAATTACCCGAGGGCATTGTCCATTTCCTCCACTTATTATTCTAATTTGTGGATTTCATTAAATGTGAGACGATGTGTAACTTTCACAATCTTTTTCCTCTCTGCTTTGTACTACAGCTAATTTCAGCATGATTAGCTAACCGCGCACCTCTCGGTTTTAGTTTATTTTCCGCTGCGTTTTTTTTTACGCCGAACGCATTTAACGATATTTTCACGCTAACGTTACGAAAACATTTTAATGAAAAAAAATCTAAAAAAAAAGCCAAGCAAACAAAACGGTGCGATTTGACATCAGCTCTTCAGAAATGTTTCTTCGCGTTTCCCACCCCCCCCCTAACCCCTCCGTATATACGCGCGTCACCGTGTGGCGTCACCCCTGCCCCCCCACTCGCCCACCCACCCTCGCCAAAAATTACATCGCCGGGTTGTTCTCAAATCCCGGCTGCCCTCGTGGGTCTAATGGCCGGCTGGCTTCGGTCTGTGGCAAACGGACAAACTGGTAGCCGTAGCCCCACACCTGAAAGCCATTGCCTCCGCCCGCGGTGTAGGGGCCGGTGCTCATCGGCGGAGCCGCTCCCCCATCCCTCACCGCCCGCTGCATCGCTTCGGCCCGCACCTGGCTCGCGCCGCCCGGGTCGGCGTAGCACTCCAGCCCGCCCCGATACCACTGGTCCCCGGCAAACTGCGACCCCTCGCCCCTAACCCGCGCACCGCTGCCCACGATACCCTGCGGCGCCGGCGCCGGCGGAGGCGGCGGCATCCTGGGGACGCCGAACTCCAGGCCGTGCTGCTGCGCGTGGTGGCCGTGCGCTACGCCCATCGCAAAGTAGTTTGGGCTCGGTCGGAAGTCGGCGCTGTTCGAGGCGAGCGCCATATCCGCCTGCACCGTCTGGAACGGCGGGAACGGGGGGCCCACACCGCCGTCAGCGAAACTGACGGGGCACGGGCCGAATGGTGGCGGCGGCAGCGGCGGCGGGGGCGGCACAGAAGCGCCGCCCCCGCCGGGTTGCGAGTCCGAGAAGTGGGGCGGCGGCGGTGGCGGCGGCACGCTCAGCAGCCCCATGCCGGCCTGCGACGTGAGGCTGCGCACATCCATGGGGAAGCCCATGGCCACGCCGGACGTGTTCACCTTGCCCTGCTGCTCGCCGCCGCCGCCGCCATCGAACAGGGACTGCGCCTTGCAGCCCTGCGACGGGAAGTCGGGTGGGCCGCCTACCGCTCCTCCCTGCATGTGGTTGAGCCAGGAGGACACGCCGTACGCGCTGCCGCCCGGCCCGCCGTCACCCTGCGCCCCCCCGGCCCCACCGCCACCGCTGCCCCACGCCCCTCGAAAGTGAGCCTGCGCACCGCTCGTTGCGTTAAACATGGAGCCCGCCTCCATACCATTGGCAAAGGCATCGCCGCCGGAGCCATCTTGCTCTTTGAGCTGATCGCCCACCGCGCCGTTGTTGAGGGGCCAGCCGCCCCCGCCGCCGCCACTTCCAACGGCTTGAGGAGGCGGCCACTCCTTGGCGGCGTCGGGCACGTGGGAGGCAGTGCCGGGGGACGCCGCCCACACGTCCAGCGAGTCGCCGTTGTGGCTGCTCGCCGGGTTGGACTGCGCGGAGGGCCAGCTCACGTCGCCCGCCGGGAAGTAGCGCGACTGCTGCGGGGAGGGCGTGAGGCCATAGGAGGCCGGAGGGTACACGGACGTCCAGGGCCCCGGCAGAGACTGGTAGGGGCCCAGCCAGCGTGCCTGCGCAAACGCCTGGAGCACAAATGGTGAAGGTGGATGAGAATAAGAGTTAGTTATTGATAGTCCAAGTGTGGTTGTGCTCTAGGTCTGATCAAAAGTTACCCAAACCAACCGCAGCTAAAATGAGCAATGCACAGTGCGCCATCTCTGTTGGTCTCCTGAAAATGCAGCTCTGCGTGTAAATCGTAGCCCATCTGAATGTAAAGTGATACTCATTTTATCGACTACTCCACAGGGATGATGGTATGTGATCTCGCAAACATTCTATTTTGAGTTGAGCCATGTGACTTGCCAATGAGGTGTTTACCAGCCATTATAGTTGGAAAGTGTTTAGAGGAAGGTTAGCAACAAGTTTTACTCTTAGAAGTTGTCACTATGACACGAACATACACATCGACCCACTTTCCTAAATAAAGTTATCAATGCTTCATTGACCAAAAACATTTCACCGATAACCACCAATACACACAACGTATGAAAACATTCGCGCACGTTTGAAAATGTTCCAAATCACTAAGAATTGGAATACATTTCTTTATATCTAAGCGAGGTTGGCATGCATGCCATTACACCGGTTTTTTTTGTTCCCATTGCTACTTGCTTCATTGCTGTACTTTATTTTTTGGTGACTCAAGTCACTCTCGCAAATGAGGCTATCCTGGTCTCTTGAGTTCTCGTCTCTACTTTTCCAAAGCATATTTTAATGTATGAATAAGATTCAACAATAAATAGAAGCCACAGGCATGCAACAATGCTTTAATGCATTGACTGCAATAGATTCAGTGACAATATGTGCATCAAATCGTGCATGTAAAGATTTACAATTAGTGAAAATTATATTGGTAGAGGTATCACAGTCGTTAGCGCACTGAATTATGAGCACAGTAACATCAGTGGCGAGTGAGATCCTCCCTTAAACCAACCCATACTGACGAGCATGTTGAAGTATGGTAAACAGCCCATTGCTAGCACGGCATGGGCAGAGATGCCTTCATCCAGCAGTAGTTTGACATTTAGGATAATGGGAGTGAACAATCTGTGCAAACGAGGCAGAAGGCGCAGTGGGGGGGGGGGGGGGGGAAACGATACGTGCCAGTGGGAAAAACAATCGATCGTTCAAGCAAATCACGACCCAGATTTATGAAGATTCATCAAAGGGGTGGGTGGGGCGTTGGAGGTGGTAACGGCTGGAAGCCTAATAGAAGAGTCTGTGTCCTTGCGCTTGTAAGCCAGAGAGCCAAGTCTCTTTCTGTGCTTATTACACCCAGTACACACCTCCTTGTGTTGGAATTTATGGTTACCCTGTGTTGCAATTCACACCAGATTCTATAAAAGTGGTTGATTGCCTTTGAAAGTATGAGCCACAGTTCCCAAAAAAAATGTGTTTTTAACTGGATACAATTATTGGTGTAAATTAATATTTTGTATACGTTAACAGCAATAAAATACTAAACACAAACACTGAGGTATGCTCACCATCTGGAATTAGTTTCTCCCCAGCTTGTATTGATTGGCTAGTTTCTTGCATGGCTTGCTACTGTGTAAAAGCCTATGCTAATGGTGAGATTGGCAAGGGCTTGTAAAAGTAACGTATTAATATAAAAACCTACGATAAATGCCAGGGGCCCCCTTCATGTAGACACAATGTTTTATTCAATGTTTTCATTGAACACAAACATTTATTGAGCTGCCAAATAACATCAAACTGCTTTTGTTTTTCTTTTCAGCCCCAGTCTGCTTGGACCACGTAATGACGTGAAATTAAAGTGACATCACACATTTGTGGGTTTCTAATTAAGTGCTACTTATTTAATTAATCAAAACTAATATTGCTTGGGAAATGGATGGGATGCATAAAAAAAAGTATGTTTCCTTCCCAAAAAATGTACAAATGCATAAAGGATGAAGTACATTAAAAAAAAAAATAATCCACATGTAAAGAGACGTAATCTAATTACGGAAAGGTCAAATCGAGAACAAACTAAAACCTACGCGCGTTCATCAAGCTACATGCCCCTCCGCCTATTAGTTAATCCTCCTCATCCCCTATGGGAGATGAGGCCGCAATGAGTTCCCTCCACTTCCGTACCAGTCGTTCAAGAGAAAAAAAAATATCAGTTTAAAAAAAAACAGGTTACCCCGATACATTGGCCACCCTTATAGCTACCTCTACCCAACTACATCTGAATGTGTTGAACTGTACTTCTTCGCACCGCACAGAGAGATGACGCAAAGCACGCTCAAGACGTGCACACATTTCCCATTGCAACATCATGAATTGTGGCTTTGAACAAAATGAGTACCAAAATAATAATTTAAACGACTTACTTGAATTCCGTAATTGAAGAAAAATTGCAGAAGCCTCTGGTCTGCAAACACAAACGAAGGCACAAAAGGTTACATATATGTGCACTGTACGTAGCTAACCGTGCTATTCGAAGGTGCGGGCAGAACGACAACAAACTAAACGTGCTGTGCACAGCGCAGGCTGTACACGTGAACGTGCGATGTAACGCCAATGTAAAGGAGCCTCTCATTGGGACACAAAACTCTGCTCATTCAAATGCAAATACCGAGTTCATTTGGGATTCATTACCAACAGTAAAAAAACACAACACACGTTCCCATCACACAAACGTTTGCATACGTTTTTTGGAACAAACGCATGTCATTATTTTGAGGATAACTTCATTTCAAATTTGTTCCCATTAAAGTCAACCCAAGTCTCCCTGCACGAGTTTTAATATATGAATATTGGCCAATTAATTGTGATATTCACTGCAGACGAACTGGAGCAAACGCGCGCGCACACCAAAAGGATAACGCTCAAAACTCCACTGAGATTCGTCTGCCGCCTAACTTGCTGCAACAGTCCCTACGGGGCACCAACTCGTTTCCACAGCAGGTGGCAATCTGACATACAGCATCTAATTTATATTTATAGAGTGCCGTCACTCAAGGTCGCCTGACATAGCTTACAAAACGGTGACAGAATGATTGAGGTGGGTACAAGGATTTAGTCATGAGCGACAGCGATAGCAGGGTACTTAGGGCTCTCGTTCTATGACTGGGTAATTCAATGCCTGACCAGAGTAGACCCCCGAGAATGGCCTCAAGTGACTTTGCAGGGCAGAAAAAGGGCAGGAGGACTACTACTACTGCGTTACCTTCGGGTAGATCCCGGCCATCGGGGTCTTTGGAGTAGAGAGAGAGGGCATCGAACGGATCCGACAGAGACATGGACCCAGCCGCAGCTGTAATTACAAACAGGGCAAATCACACACCAGTCCCCTCTAACGTCAAGGTGGAGAACCCTCTTTTCCTTATCCAAGGTCGAATAGAACTTTAGTACATCAATATAGACTTGAGCAGTGTTACTCAATAGCGTGATAAACAATACACGTGTTGAACAAGTACGCAGCATATCCATATTGATTCTTATACTTTTACAGTCATATTCAGCCTGATGATACACCACCATCACTAAGAAATTTTGATTTCCAACAGTGTTTCATTTCATTCGCCATTCATCATACAGGCACCGTACATTTATTGTACAAGAACCGAGATGGTTATCTCCCCCCCCCCCCGCCTCATTGGCTCCTCCCTGCCGAGCACCCTATATAAAAACACGTGTCTCTGAATATCTCTCTTCATACACTACAGCAATATCACTGGAGCAGTTACACCTGATGATGGAGGCTTGTGTTGCTTCCGAAACGTCGTGAGTTAATTTATTTAAAAAATTTACCTAGGTGATTCTAGATTTGAAGCGTTCGTGACTGCAAGGATTCATATTCTTAGGTTTTTTCGGTAAAGTCACGTAGGTAAAAAATAAAAATTAATAAAAGTAAAATAAAATAATAAAAAAGAAAACATTTTTTATTTTTTATTTTACTTTTATTAATTTTAATTTTATTTTTTTACCTACGTGACTTTACCGAAAAAACCTAAGAATATTTACCTAGGTGACTTTACCGAAAAAAACAGAGTATGAATCCTTGCAGTCACGAAAACTTCAAATCTAGAAGTACACAGCGGCAGTCACAGAAGTCACTGACAGCGGCGCTGAAAGTAGTGCTGTTGCCGAGGTTGACAATATTCCCCCTCTCTCGTGCCCGATTAGTGCGACTAAGATGTTTGCGGAAACGGATAAAAAATCATCTGCGGTGCAATTGCAAGTGGTGGGCCTCGTGTGTCCGTGTGCCGTACGAAACACCGTGGTGGGACGGGTACGACAGCGGCCTCCGGTCCGTAGGAACCCCAGCTCTGCTCTACGTGAAAACGGGGCTCACAGCTGCGATGCCGTGTCATCCAGCGACCGCCACTGCTCGCAAAGCCACGTGTGTTATTCAGGTTTGGAGAGCCCAAGTGTGACATCATGTGGTGCATCTGGCTGCTCGGGTTCATAGGTCGTTTAACAGTGGAAGAGTGCATTGTCGGCTCCCTTGAGATGAGGCTCACTGTGTAAGCCAACCCAGTGTAAATCAGAGCACATGGAATTTATCCATTAAAGAATTACTGAAAATATAAAAAGAATTTACTGGAAAAATAAAATCTATTTATTCGTCCGGGAAAATGGCCATTGGTCACGAAACTTTAATAAGAATTTTTTTAAATATATTTTGCACGTCACGGCTAGAGTGGTGGTGTAGCCGTTAGTGTGATGCAGTATGATCCTAATAATAAATAACAATGTCCTTTATTTATCAAGGAGTCAAGACTTTTCTTTTCAGACAGGTCATGCTTTTGGATGGTTGTCTAATTCCGTCTTAAATAATGTTTTTCATGCGGGAGCAAAATAGAATACGTGCAGACACAATACGCACACACGAGGGTAAACACCCAAAGGTCTGAATAGATTGTTTCACAAACCCATGTGCTGTGGTAATAACTCCCAGGAGTACGTGACGCAAGTTGATAGTTATTGAACTTGCTACTGGGCAAACAGCTGGCATTGGCCCAGCTGTTTGCCCAGGCCACCTCCTCAGTACACGACAAATATAAACTATTTTTATCTTAACGATTTGTAAAAACTAAAACTATTTTTATTTTACAGGTAAGGCCCACTGAGCTATATATCTCTTTTTCAGAAGCGGCCTGGCCACAAATGATAGCTCAACGCAGTGGCTTAACATGTGGAAATTAATAGCAGCCAAATACTCTAAACGATTGATCTTGATTCGAAATGTGGAGGAAAAAAACCGGAGGACCCGGAGGAAAAATCCACGTGACCACGGGGAGAGAGAAAACTATAAATGCACAACAGGCGTGAGGGTCGGCATCAAACCCACGACTTCCTGTATACCAGGTGAGGCAGTTAACATCTCGCCACACGAGGCTGGGAGCTTCTCACACACAATCTCAGCACAAGCCCCCAAATGTACCACCCCGGGAGGTGCGCGCCAACGCAGCCCCTGCGCAGGCGTCGTCACCTTGCGAGTCGAGCGACGCTTTCTGCCCCGACGCCATGCCTGCGATCGAGGTCCTGTCCTCTGCGCCGGCTGCACTCCGCTCCGACGCCCCCCCACCCCTGCTGGCGGCCAGCAGAGCTCCATTCTGCGCGGCGTCCCCCGACACCCCGGCAGGAGACGTGTTGCCGCCACCACCGGCCATTGCAGACGGCTGGGACCCCACGCCGTCACCGCTCACCGACAGCGCCGAGGGACTGAAGCCGTTGAGCGGCGTCGCCCGGTCCCGCTGGCCGCCGCCGCCGCCGCCTCCACCGTCCGCGCTCGCCTGGGTCGAGAGCGAAAGGATCTTCTGGTGTCCGTGGAAGGGCGACGGGGGCCCCATGGCGGGGTGGCCGCCCAGCGCGGCATGGTTGTAGGAGTGCAGTGGCGGTGGACCCGAGGATGAGTAAGGCCCGATCATGGCCGGGGACGAAGAGCTCATGGCGCCGGGCGTCGGGCACGGCGGGATGAGCGCCGCGATCGGAGCCAAGATGGCCTGAAACGACGGGAGGTACGTTTACCACGACGACTATGGGGGGGCTGCTCGCGGGCTAATGACGTCCTGCTAATACATCGCCCACTCCCAAACGTGCCGCGACGGCCGGAAGAGGCACTAGCCAGGGGACAATAACTGAACGCGGGAACATTGTGCATGGCCGAAGGTGTACATGTTTGCGTGTTGGGGTCGAACGGGAGCGTAGCGGGTTAAAACCCTGCTTAAAACCCAGCGGTGTAAATTAATCTTTGCGCAGTTACCTGGGAGGGCTTGACGGCCGAGGAGAGCACGGCCGGAGGGTGCAGCGCGGGCAGCGTGACGGCGAGGGGCGAGCACGCATGGGTGGTCGAGCCGACCGCCACCGAGGGGCTCGAGCGGGGCCTGCTGATGGGCAGCGGTGTCGGCGCTACGGTGGGGCCGCCCGGGAGAGGAACGCCCATCCCTCCGCCGGGCAGCAACAGAGTGCGTGGCTGCGACACCGACATTGTAACCTTCAGAGCAAGAGGCGTCGAGGAGGAGGAGGAAGAGACGGTGAGACGTGCGGGCAAAGTCAAAGAGTTGGATTGCTGTACGAGCAGCGCTAAGGGGGTGCGGGAACATCTTACCAAAGGCCGCAGGTTCGGCAAGCAACACATTGACGGATGCCCTCGCGGTCACCATGACTGCAACATGCCCTCGCAGTCAAAAGCAGCAAGTCGAGTGCACCAAGGTCGAAAGCATTCCCCTATCATTTGAAAGGTTGTTCAGAAGTGGTAGTAGGGCTCGCGTGGCCGTCGGCCGTATGAAGTCAAGAGCTGCGTGCGTGCTGCGAGTCAGAGGTTTCCCACCCCTGCTAAACAAGTGGGAGGCTCTGCCCCCACTCCCGCCCCACGATTTTATGAACTGTTGCAATTCAGGGCTGCGATTTAATTCAAGATTTTTTTTTTACATTATGGTGAATGGTAGCGCCTCCAGTGGCACACAGCTTGATCTTGAGAATAAGAGGTTAATGGGTGAATCGATGTTTCATTGCACCCAGAATGTGCACTAACCGTCCCCACTCGTGGAGCCGAGCCAGTGGTTTAAAATTCCACATTTTTACGATGGGAACCAGCATGTTTCATAACCAAGTCGATCGTAGAACTGTTTAAATCAGTGTTGCCATCAACATTTGTTTCCATAGTCCTTAGACCTACTATGGTATCGGTAATACAACATTCCTGGGGCAGGAACCAGCCCTCGATTAGTCTCAGCCTGTCCCTTGGTGCATCATTTAGCATTCCCAACACCTGTGCAACAGCCACATGGGCCGGTGCTCAGTCTGCCGACATCGTAAACACAACATCGATGAGGCCTCGTCAACCACAACTGCGATTTGAACTGCCGACCTTGCTATCCGGGGGAATCAATGCATTACAGATGGATCGTAAATCCGTGGATTAAAGCTTGAGATGCAGGGCTATGCGCCTTAGAAGTCAGGTGCTGGAATGGAATTCCAACCAGGCAGGACGCAAGCTGTTTTTGCTGTGGTTACGGGGAGGGGTTTTGCTTTTTATCGTTGGGGGCAGAATGGAAAACGAGCCGAACATTTTTTTTTCCTCGTGGGTTGGGGGTGAGTGTCAGGTCAAGGGGGAAACTAAGATGTTTTCGTAACGGCGGGGTGAAGGGTTAGCACAATAAAGAGCGGCAAACTGTCTCCTGACATTGGTTACAATGACGTTGGCAGCATGGAAAAAGCTTGAGGGAAAATGTTATCCGCACAGTCTCGTCTGAGTGAGCACCACATGCTGAAGCTTACTTACACACCATGGCCAAGTCCTCATTTAAGGCCGAGTTGATCTAAGCAAGCCCCAACACAGGTTGACGCTTACTGCCGATTATGCCCCTGGTTCGGAATGGAACGCCATATTGCAGGAATGAATATTCTTTGGGTCTTTCGGTAAAGTCACGTAGATAGGTTCAAAAAAACCAGGAAGAGGGGGATGACGAACACTTGTGTTGCGATCGAAACGTCGTAGTTTTTTTTTATTTTCTTTGAAGCTATCTACGTGACTTTACCGAAAGACCGAAAGAACATTAATCCCTGCAGTCATGAAAGCTTTAAGTTAAAATTTAAGGAATGCTCCGTGCTAAATGAGAGAATGCTACGTGGGGGATCGTTATTTCCATGTTTGTCTTGTGTGTTTATCCCTACGGTGCTCTCTTATGGGCTCTTCAAGATTGTGTGAGCCCATCAGAGTTGTTGTCCTTCCCCCCCACACCTCTGATTAGCACGTTTGGCGACATACGGTGCGAAAGAAGTTCAACGTAATACACTGCCCATAGACTCAACACTGCCCATAGACTCAACACTGCCCATAGACTCAACACTGCCCATAGACTCAACACTGCCCATAGACTCAACACTGCCCATAGACTCAACACTGCCCATAGACTCAACACTGCCCATAGACTCAACACTGCCCATAGACTCAACACTACCCATAGACTCAACACTGTCCAGACTCAACACTGCCCATAGACTCAACACTGCCCATAGACTCAACACTGCCCATCGACTCAACACTGCCCATAGACTCAACACTACCCATAGACTCAACACTGCCCATAGACTCAACACTACCCATAGACTCAACACTGCCCACAGACTCAACACTGCCCATAGACTCAACACTGCCCATAGACTCAACACTGCCCATAGACTCAACACTGCCCATAGACTCAACACTATCCATAGACTCAACACTATCCATAGACTCAACACTACCCATAGACTCAACACTACCCATAGATTCAAGACTGGAGAATTGGTTGAGGCTTACTCTGATAATTACAGGGCAATGTGTGGAGCAGTTGTGCACTAAGGAGATGAGAGCCATGGAATCAGCTGGTGTGCAGGTGCAAGGTCGATCATTGCATTACAGGCACCTGCCATTAATTTACCCAACCCTTCCGCTGTAAATGAGCGTCAATGCCTACTTTATTGAGGGCGACATTGACACACAACATGAATATTGATCGATTGATTATCTTGGGAGCAGCCCTAGCAGGCAGCACCCTGCTCTAGCGGCCCACCTGCGGCGAGAGGTTGTGCAGCATGGAGCTAATGATGGACGTGGCGCTGTGACCAGGCATGGGCACAGGCCCGCCGAAGGAAGCCGGTCCTCCCCTCGTGCCTCCCACCGCGGCGGCGCTACCAACGCCGCCCCCTCCCAGCTGGCCGTCGGGCGGCATCTTGGCCGTCTTCAGGGCGTGGGCGAACGCGGGCTCCAGAACGGAGCCCTTGGGCTTGTGATCCGGCAAGCGCGTGCCGACTTGCGCCGAAGATGCCAGCGTGGAGGAGTACACTCTGGCCGACTGCGCACACACACGCACAGGGAAGGGACAGAGAGGGCATAGTATGGATTTAGTACACCCGGAAAAGCCCCATCAACGTATGTCTCAACTCTTTTTATAGAGGGTCCTCCTAAATTCAGATGTTGAGCTCGTCCCCTTATTGAGCGTCATGTGGGAGGACGCCAGCAAAGAATTTGTCGAGCACACGCGCTTCCACACGGTTAGCTTCATTGCATTGCTCTGCTGCCGTCTCCTGGGCAGTTCCCGGCCCAAGCCTGCAACATCCTTCCAAATACTAACCAAGCTCAACCATGCTTCAGAGATCTGATGGGATTCGGCACATTCTGGGAAGTTTTAGTCACAGGCACCAGTCTAACTGGCGGCTTTGGCCATCACGTGCGGTTCCCACTGGTGTCTTGGCCACCGCTCAATAATTGTGAATTATGAAAGGCAAATTATGGTAGCCGTAAATTCTCGAGAGGCATTTTAAACAGCCCAAAGCAAGTCCTGTCCTCAAAACTATTTGCGCAGTAGGTGTGGGCTGGTGCCCACGAATTTTTCACGACGCTCAACAGATTAAAACGTAAGCCAATTAAATCGTATAAACATCTGCGGAGCCGAAAGGTGCGATTTACAATATATCGTTTCTCACCTGGGAGTCGTCAATTGTCAATGGGTTTGGGGAGGAGGTGGGGGACAACATTTCTGGCCGTGTCCCGAGAATCGAAAAAATTCCAAGGGATGTCACTCAGGAGTGCCAAAACTAAAACTTCTGCAGAGACCCAGCGAGCGCGGAGCGTGTAGCTTCGGGCAGGGAACAAGCACATGCAGGGCGCCAAAAATGTTTTTTGTTCCTGAGTAGTAAGTGTTATTTCCTAATTGCTTATGCCTCAAAGGTACCGAAAATGGCTATTATTCCCCACAAACTTTGCTTTCGTGACCAGGACAGTGATATCTTGAAATGTACCTATTTTCAATGAGAAAACGTGGTGTGCATTTGTGTAATTCCTTCACATAAAGCCCTGATCACAAGAGCAAAGTTTATGGGGAATAACAGCCATTTTCTATACTTTTGAGGCATAAGCAATTAGAAAATAACACTTACTACGCTGGGACAGAAATCGTGTTACGTAGTGTATAATACACGCGCAGTGTGTGTGTGTGGCCGCGATAGCTCACGAGGCCGGGTGGTACAAGAGGAACTTGCAATAGAATTATAGCCGAGGTCAGCTCTACCGATCATCCCAGTGTGGGTCAATAAAATTAGCACTACTGTGTGGGAAGTCACCAGCTGTTACTCCATGGAGAGATATGCCCCCGCCGCCACCCCTGCCATGGGAATGCGTAACTTCCACCACTGGCTTAAGTCCGTCAATAGATAATGAACACTGCGTCAATGTGTATCCGAGTTATATATGCAGGCTATTTCGATCATATATGCTAATGTGATAATATTATTTTAACATAGTAGAACCGAATTACCATACATCACCTTAAATTCAAGTACTGAAGTATTTTTATTTTACCAGGTAAGGCCTCACTGAGCTACGTAGCTCCGTTTCAGAAACAACCTGGACATCACAAATAATAGCTCAACATTGGAGTGGCTTATCACGTGGAAATGCACAGCAGCCGAACACTCAAAACCAGATTTCCTCAGATGTTCTAAACTTATCAGGATTCGAGTCTGGCCAGTTTATTGACAAGCGGAGGCTTGCCAGCTGTTGCAGTTGTGAGGGTTACGAGGCGAATGCAAGAGATGGCAGTGCTGTGTGTCACCTCCTTTGTGGGTTCTATCTGCAGTTTTCTCCCACAGAATGCCAAAGTTAATTTGATTGTAATTGGGCAAATAACGTAATTGAGGATTCTCCTGAAACAGAGGTCTTCAGACTCTTTCTACGGGTAAATGAGACCATTATCAAGTTAATATTTTCCATAATAGAGGTTTTTTGGTTAGATCGCGTAAATATATAAATGTGTCGTTAAAACCCGCCACCACCCGACACAGCCAACCAGTAAGGGTTGTCACGTAAACAGAACGTGGCCAATTCATAACTAGTACAGCACTAACCGGTGTGTTGGAGAGCCAAGCAACAACATTTACCATCTTGAGTACGACGTTTTGCCAGTAATTACAACTAGCTTCATCAGGCGACAGCCAGATTTGTGGAGAAGTCATACTGTTTCGTTCCTTATATAGAGGCGTAGATGTGTTGACCACACAGCTGCGCTCTTGCACAATGTGGGGGGGGGGGGGCAACGACACATTTATATATTTACGCGATCTAACCCAAAATCCTCTATTATGGATGATATTGGTTGCGAAAGCCTACGTGTTAAAGTTTATATTTCTTTATAGGTTTTTTTTTAATACATATATACGGGTCCTAGAGGCACTGAGTTGTATACAACTTATTTACAACATCGATGCCCTGACAGAAGGATAATTTAAATTAAATCAGCCGCTGTGGGTATTTTTCATGATTGGAAAATAAGCATCATTACATCAGCACATAATAGCGTAAACTTGGGAATTACGTGGCTGCACTGCCAAACGTCCACTCCACTGGTTTTAATAAGAGTTATAACAATGTCCAACCCTGTCCATCCACTGCCGAATGAAGGCCGGAGGGGGTGGTTTGGCCACACATCACCACACAGGTTAGTAAGGCTTGGGCAAAGGAGGGGGGACCGTCCTGGATCAGTTCAGATATAACTCCCCACTGATTTTTAGCTGGAACTGGGAATCAAACGCAGGTCACTGGGTTCAAATTCAATCTTGATTTGAAGCTTTCGTGATGGTAAAGTCACGAAGTTAGAAATAAAATAAAGTAAAACAAATCACAACGTTTCGATTGCAACACAAGCAATCTTCATCAGGTGTGACAACCACAGCAAAAAAAATTACTGAAGTGGGCAAGAGAGCTGCCGTGGAAAGAGGTTAACTACGTGACTTTACCAAAAGAGAACCAAAGAGTATGGGTTCATTGTAGTGAGCAACCCACTCCACCATCGCTCTAACCCATAATGAGGGTAAGCCTCATCGTCTCCAGAATCTTCAGGAGACTCGAGGCACCGGGGTATTGGGCCGGTTTGATACTCTCCACGACTACGCTCATGATTATATTGCGTCACGTATCATAATTTCACGTCGAACTGGGGCCTATGGTTATCGGAAAGGGTCCTTACCTATGGAAATCTGGCAGTTCACCAGGCCTGGCTTCCCCGACTGTGTCGAGGCAAGCCTAATAGACTCAACACTGCACCATAGACTCAACACTGCACCATAGACTCAACACTACCCATAGACTCAACACTGCCCATAGACTCAACACTGCACCATAGACTCAACACTGCACCATAGACTCAACACTGCACCATAGACTCAACACTACCCATAGACTCAACACTGCCCATAGACTCAACACTGCCCAGACTCAACACTGCCCATAGACTCAACACTACCCATAGGCTCAACACTACCCATAGACTCAACACTGCCCATAGACTCAACACTACCCATAGACTCAACACTACCCATAGCCTCAACACTGCCCATAGACTCAACACTACCCATAGACTCAACACTACCCATAGACTCAACACTGCCCATAGACTCAACACTACCCATAGACTCAACACTACCCATAGCCTCAACACTGCCCATAGACTAAGACTGCCCATAGACTCAACACTGTCCATAGACTCAACACTGCCCATAGACTCAACACTGCCCATAGACTCAACACTGCCCATAGACTCAACACTGCCCATAGACTCAACACTGCCCATAAACTCAACACTGCCCATAGACTCAACACTGCCCATAGACTCAACACTGCCCATAGACTCAACACTGCCCATAGACTCAACACTGCCCATAGACTCAACACTGCCCATAGACTCAACACTGCCCATAGCCTCAATACTGCCCATAGACTCAACACTGCCCATAGACTCAACACTGCCCATAGACTCAACACTGCCCATAGACTCAACACTGCCCATAGACTCAACACTACCCATAGGCTCAACACTACCCATAGACTCAACACTACCCATAGACTCAACACTGCCCATAGACTCAAAACTACCCATAGACTCAACAGTACCCATAGCCTCAACACTGCCCATAGACTAAGACTGCCCATAGACTCAACACTACCCATAGACTCAACACTGCCCATAGCCTCAATACTGCCCATAGACTCAACACTACCCATAGACTCAACCTGCCATAGCCATACTGCCATAGACTCAACACTACCCATAGACTCACACTACCCATAGACTACTGCCATAGACTCAACACTACCCATAGACTCAACACTACCCATAGACTCAACACTGCCCATAGCCTCAATACTGCCCATAGACTCAACACTACCCATAGACTCAACACTACCCATAGACTCAATACTGCCCATAGACTCAACACTACCCATAGACTCAACACTACCCATAGACTCAACACTGCCCATAGCCTCAATACTGCCCATATACTCAACACTGTCCATAGACTCAACACTGCCCATAGACTCAACACTACCCATAGACTCAACACTACCCATAGACTCAATACTGCCCATAGACTCAACACTACCCATAGACTCAACACTACCCATAGACTCAACACTGCCCATAGCCTCAATACTGCCCATATACTCAACACTGTCCATAGACTCAACACTGCCCATAGACTCAACACTGCCCTTAGACTCAACACTGCCCTTAGACTCAACACTACCCATAGACTCAACACTACCCATAGACTCAACACTGCCCATAGACTCAACACTGCCCATAGACTAATACTGCCCATAGACTCAACACTGCCCATAGACTCAACACTGCCCATAGACTCAACACTACCCATAGACTCAACACTACCCATAGACTCAATACTGCCCATAGACTCAACACTACCCATAGACTCAGACTCAACACTGCCCATAGCCTCAACACTGCCCATAGCCTCAACACTGCCCATAGCCTCAACACTGTCCATAGACTCAACACTG